CACAATAGGTTAATGAGTCCCAATTTTTTACCTCTAGGTTAGACCAAGCCTTCACACGAATAGGTTCACCCTCCCACTGGGTGTTGTATGTGTGCCCTGAATCCAGCACCACCTCACTGGAATTGACATCTGAAGCTGCATTCTTCTTCCAGCACTTCACCAATCCGCTCCATGTCTTATGTTCCCATATTTATTACTGGTACAAGTCTCTGTCCACTTGCCTGGGACGTTGCCGCCTTCTTCCTTCTGTCATTACCTGTGGATCAGCCTGCTAACTTTTCCCAGTAGGTGCTGGCTGGAGCCATAGTTGAGACCCCGGTTGGGATGGCAGTGCCCTCCTGACTGGTCTCACTGGTGCTCGAGTGCCAGAAGGTGGTTTCTGAAGTATTCATCTCTGCTTGGAATTCTTCCATGGCTCCCAGTCTGCCGCAGGGTGATGCCGCATGGGCCCATCTCCATAGGTGTCTGCCTGCAGGACTCCCTGGATTGCAGCCTGACCTGGGGCCCACACATGCACTTCATCCTCCAGTGTGGTTCTGAAAGCCACCTCCTCTGACAAGTGGCACTTATTCCTGCTTCATGGTGAATACTACTTTGTATACAGTGATGACACTTTGTTACAATTGGGTGTCCAGCTGTCTGTCCCCTTACCTAGACTACGAGTTCCACCAGACCAGAGGCTGAATCTGCTCACGTCTGTAGCACCATACCCGCCCAGTACTTGGCACCAACTAAGTGCTAAGTAAATGTGTGAATGAAAAAGGAGGCTCTAGGAGAGCTCTGTGAAAACCCGCTTTCTTTTGGGGCAGATATTAAGAATTGCTTTTAAACCCATAGTAATAAATCCTGAGTGGCAACACTTAGTATACTTCCATTCTCTCCCTTGTAGCCTTGATTTTTACTTCCACATGTCCCAGAACAGAGCCCCAGCACTCTCCTTTCCCTGCTAAGCTCTTGAAAACAGAAAAGCGAAAATGCACAAAGACGCAAAGTTCAGTCTGTATCACCAACCCTGCCTGTGATGCTTGTTTCCCAGCAAGTGATCTTATCCCAGTGTTGACTCTCAAGTAAGAAGCCCTCGGGTTTCTTGTGTGAGTGAAATGATTTTTTCTCACTCCTCTATATTTCTTGCTTATGCATCTGGCTCCAGTCCCAGTGTGAACATAAAGTGAGGTATATGGAAGTGAGGAATTCCATGCATTTGGGTTGAGTCTCACAGGGCAGAGAGGTGGCCAGACATTTCTTTTGGGTGGAAATTGACCCAAAGTGCAGATTTGCTCATACTCTGCTATGAAAAGCAAACATACCTTGGCCCAAGTATGTACTAGCTCTGGTATTTTTCAAATTTTTCCAATAAGTCTTCACAGCCAAAGTGTTTTTCAGCTATTTTCTAGGTTTGTTGTGTTTATTTTTGTGTGACGGTTTCATGCTTGTATCACTAATAGCTGTCCTCCTCTGTGTGTTGACTTGGAATAACACCGCGTCACTTTGTCTTAGGCCGTTGGCTTTTGAGCAAGTGACTACATCTGGTGATAGCAACACAGATACTCCATGTCAGGCCTCTCTCAATCACACAGGCTCCTGGTATCCTGTGGCCAGCTCCTGGGGAGGATTACTCAGGACTCCTGACAAAGTGATTGTTATGTATAGTTGTCCCTGGTTATCCTTGGGGGACTGGTTTCAAGACCCTTGGGGATACAGAAATCCAGGGATGCTCAAGTCCTTCAGATAAAGAGTGTGTGTGTGTGTGTGTGTGTGTGTGTCTCATGTTTACAAAATTAATTTTACTTATACTAATTTCTAACCAGCAGAATAAAATATATCATGTAAATCTTCAGTGAATGATTATTTATAACCTATGCAAATCCTCTCTTATCCTTCCTCTAGATGACGTATACCTAATACAATGTAAATGCTATGGAAATAGTTGATATACTATATTGGTTAGGGAATAACAGCAGTAAGAAAAAAGTCTGTCCCATCAGAGGCCTGACGACATTTTCCATCTGTGATTGGTCGAATCTGTGGATTTGGAACTTGAGGATATGGAGGGCCATGTATACCATATCACCTGTACTTTAAGTCACTTCATTCTATATATTCCAGCCAAATTTGGTGAGAATCTCCTCTTTCTATCCTTCCTGCACCCTTTTCCCACTATAGATACTTTTTATTTTGGAAAAAGTTTAGCTCTACAGAAACATTGAAGGCCTAGCACAGTGAACACTCACACCCTTCCCCGCATTCATCAGTTGTTAATGTTTGCCCATATTTGCCTTTTATCTTATTTTTCTTATCTGTGGAGACAATGCTGTGATCTCACATAATCTTTTCACATTCAATAATGCCCTTTACTGATTTTTAAAAATTCTTTTACATTTATTCTTTTTAATTCAAGCTTCAGTAATGAATCACACTACGTTTAGTCATTGTATTTTCTAGCAATCTTTAATCTAGGAGTTGTTTCACTTTGCAGCGGGAAGGGCTGGGGCTTTCATGGGAACGGAAGAGGGGACCCAGACACTGCTCTGGAGTGTCAGCTCGGGGGCTCTCACTGAAGCACCCAGGGACCAACAGCAGGGGGTTGCCTGTCCATCAGCGCCGGGAGGGGTGACATTGTATATGATGAAGGAGGGATTTCGGATATGTGTGGTTGGTTCCTCTGTGGTGGGAAGTGTGCATTCAGAAGAGGGAACAAGGAAGTGAGAGAACTGTAAAGGAGGAGGCAGAAGATTTGGAATGCCAGTTGGCGAGAGACATGGAATAAATTAAACACCTCATGCCTGCTCTAAGATAAATCACCTTCTCATAAAATTTCATCCCTGCCCCAAAGGCTCATCTCTGGGTCTAGCCAACAATTCCAGCAGTTTTACTTTTTTAAAAAAATCCAGAATCTTCACTTACTGATGGCATGGGTGGAACAGTCCCCTGTCTCTTTTTCTTCCTAAACCTACAAATCTGAAACAAGACTATAATAGAATTCTATCTTGGGAGATTCCCCAATTTTTTAACTTATAAATATTCATTCAAGGCTCCAGTGAAGTCAGTCAGTCTGTCTCTCTCTCTCTCTCTCTCTCAATGGCATCTCACTCTGCCACCCAGGCCGGAGTGCAGTGGCGCGATCTCAGTTCACTGCACCCTCTGCCTCCTATGTTGCAACAATTCTCTTGCCTCAGCTTCCTGAGTAGCTGGGATTACAGGCACATGGTGCTGTGTGGCTATTTTTTGTATTTTTAGTAGAGATGGGGTTTTACCATGTTGGCCAGGGTGGCGTCGAACTCCTGACCTCAAGTGATCTGCCCTCCTCGGCCTCCCAAAGTACTAGGATTACAGGCATGAGCCACTATGCCTGGCCCAGTGAAGTCTCTTGACTGTGGAAACTGGTAGCATTTAAGTGTGTGTTGGGGCATGTTCTAGTTTTTAGCAGCACATTTGATTTATAATAAAAATGTTCTTGGGATTTTGTGTTGGTGTTAATAACTCCTTAATGGAGCTGTGATTGGAGGATGGTATGTCTCTTAGGACCTAGGAAGGTGACCGAGTTGTATCACTTGGAGCCAGTGGTGGTGGTGGATGCCGGGTGCTGGGAGAGGGCAGAAGGCAGGCGCTGGTGAGAGGCCACACATGGACCCATCATGGGCGCCTTCCGCCTCCTGAAGTGCAGATCTCTGGGGCCACCTCATTTTATTTTTTCTTTTCAAGGATTGGCTGTTCAGCATTTTTTCATTTCCAAGAAATTTCGCAGTATCTTTCCAGTAAGTTGCCCTTTTTTCCTTAAACTAACTAGGTTTGTTTTATGTTGCTTGTAACCAAAAGAACTTGTTAACAAATACGCATATTTGGGTTGTTGACATTGTTTTACTGTCATTTGCAGAACTTCCAATATCTTCATCCTTCCTCCCATCTCATATAGTCCCACTTTTATAGAAGTGGGATTTCTGGGTGAGAGGTCTTCTATTTCTGCTTTCCCTGATGTGTTCTGCCAGCTTCACTCTGTATGGTTTGCTGACCTATTCCCACCAGCAACTGTATACATCTGTCTCTTTCTTGGCATCATCCCACAGGTGACTGCTGCCACTTACACATTTATGTAATATATGCAAGTTTCTTGGGGGAAATGTGTGTGTGTGTGTGTGTGTCTGTGTGTGCGTGTGCGCGCGCACTGCTAGAGAACTTGATCTTTACATATCCTGATTGGCCGTTTGCATTTCTTCTTCTGTGACTATGATGTTGATGCCTTGTCTTTTTTGTAAATTAGAGTGTTCATCTTTTTTCTCTTGATATGACTCTTCACATTAAGGGTGCTCTGTCAAATGCATTGGGAAGATAAGTAATCATATTTGCTTTTCAAAAAGCACTATTTACTGTGTTTCTGAAATACAAATTTTTAAATTTGAATGTGGTCAAATCATTAAGTATTTTATTTAACAGAAAAACCTTGTAAAATGTTCTAGGAAAGACTGAAATGTACTGCGTAACACCTGGCCAGGGTGTGTCTTGATGGTCAGAATGATTGTATGTGTTTAATATGTGTCTGCTGTGGGACAGATTCGTTGGTTCATCCACCCAAACCACTCCTCAGGGCCTACTGGGTTGGGGGTGCTGGAGAGACGTCAGTATGCTTGCGGGAGTCAGCCCGGGGTAGAAGAGGAATGTAACTAAGCCTGAGAAGGTTTCTGCTACAGTGATGGGCAAGAATGTGCCCGTCTTGGCAGAGCTGAGGGGGCTATGGCCACTAGGCCCCAGAGGCACGCCTGGAATAGGGCATCGTCATCATGACGACAGTGGGATTGTAGCCCACTCTTTCCCCGGTTGTCCTCTTTCTCACCTGGTCTCCTCCAGGATATTTTTCAGTGTCACATTGAGCTGTTAGAGCATTTGATAGTCGCATTGAGTACTGTTAGTAAGCTCTGAAATCAGAAAAGCTTAAAATTCTGCTTTTATTTAACCATTTTACCAGATGTTTCCTGTGGCTTGACAGATGTACCATTTACTAGAAAGTTACACTCCTGAGATTTGGAATGTTATGGACACTGTTGCTATAGACAGTGTTTCTGTCAGGGCAGGATTTGGAAGACAACTTCCACATCATTTTTGGGTTGTAGATGTGTTTTTCACCAGAACAGAAATGCTATTTTCATAATCTGCTTTTTATCTTGCCTTTTTGTAAGTCGAATCTCTGGTTTACAAAATATCCAGTTGGTCAGAGTTTATTCTGATAAATACCATGGTGCTTCAATTGGTGTTACTTTCTGAAAGCAGCTGGGCTTGGGTGTATAAGGGTCTTGTTTGCAAAACTCACCTGGGTATAAAAGAACTCAGGTAGTGGGCAGGTGGAAATTTAAATGGGCTGAAAATCTGATGCTTCACTTCTCTGGGCTACTTGAAACTGGCATATGGCTAAGACATCTGCAGACTTGGCAACTTCTTGCACCCGCCTAAAAGTTCACCAAGACAAACTTAGGATGGCTGTGGCACCTTTGCCTCTCCAGTGCCTGGAGCCAGCATCTGCGGCAGCCTGAGTCCTAAGAGAAAGTCTCTCACCTAGGAATCTGCCCGTGGAAGGGAGGCAGAAGGAAGTTGCTTCCTTTGGTGCAGGAGTGAGTCTGTAGCTACGGCTGCCGCGGAGGAGAATGGGGGATTTCTGGCATTCCTTCTCTGAGAGGCTGGCGCAGCCGTGCCGTGGAGTTGCATGCGTCTTGCCTTCGGAGCTCTTCCACCTCGGCAGCAACCTTCCTCTCCTTTGTTTTCTTTCGCCCTATTTTGGAGTTTTATAAAAGCCTTTTGTTATGGAAGATGGAGAAACAAAGAAAGAGGAAATCGCATGCTGTAATTCTGACAGCAAATCTATTTTCTCACCGAATGGAACTGTAATAATGCGTGTAGCGTTTTGGCAAGGCACCTTCTGTAAATAAACCTTCCCAGGAGTTTCTGACCTACTCCAGGACCCATAGGAAACTTTTCTTGCAGTGCAGGGGGGCGAGGAGGCCCCTTACCTCGCAGCTCTCCTTTCAGGCGGGACTTTTATTCTGACAGGCACACCGCCCATCCAGTTTTGCGCCTGGGACTGCTTGCCAAGTTTGTGAGGCCCAAGGCTTTCTTGTGGGAGGACGCTGGGCTGTCTTCATGCTCTTTGGCAATGATTAAAGTGAGGTTAGTACCAAGAACCCTTTCATTTTATTCCCTTATCCTTGCTTTTTCAAACCAGATGGCAACCCTGTATTTTCAGCTGTAATTAATTTAAACTGCGAGACAGCAAGTGCTGGGAGAGGTAGAGTAGACTCTGCTCAGAAGGGACAGCAGCGATTTTTCTTCTTGTCCCTCCCTTCTCCCCAAACGCCACCGTGTCCCAATCAGATCTGTGTTATGTACAGTTTCTCCTGAGCCGGGACTGGAAGGGGAGATAGGGCCGCCCGTGGGAGATGGAAGGGTTAACGCACACTAGTGATTGTTTCTTTAATGGATTGGAAACAACCAAGTTTCAGGTGATGGCTGTCATGTGACCGCCTCTACACAATGGTGCATAGTTTGGCCACTGATTTGGGGAGTACAAGGTGCTTTTTCTTCCCACTCAGTCCAGCTGCCAAGATCGCCTCCAAAAAGGAGTATGTTTTAGGTTTAACATTTATTCTTAAATGAAATTACAAGGGAAATAAAAGCACTTGGCCACAATTGGAGTCTGGAGGGTTTGACCTCAGCTATTTGACCACTTCCCTCTATGGAAATTTTACTTGAGTCCTTCCTCTGTAAGTTGCCTTAGAGTGCAGGACTAATTAGAGATTGAGAGATCTTTCACATTTAATAGAAAATGAATGCTCTTGTTTAATCTCTCAGTAACTTGTAAAGTCAATCCACAGAGCAGCCTCTCCTCCCACCCTTTTGTCCCCTCTTTGTTCTGAATGAACCTGGGTTGAAAATGGAGAGTGGAGTAAGTGACTGCTTGAGAGTCAGGTGTCTAGGTATGCTCCTAGGTATGTACCTCCCTGCACAGATGAGCACCCCTGGGTTTTAGTTTCATCATTTAAGAGATGCACTTTCTGGCCATTAAAGAGTTTCATGGCCAGGTGCAGTGGCTCATGCCTGTAATTCCAGCACTTTGGGAGGCCGAGGCAGGCAGATCACCCGAGGTCAGGAGTTTGAGACCAGCCTGGCCAACATGGCGAAACCCCATCTCTACTAAAAATACAAAAAATCAGCTGGGCGTGGTGGCGTGTGCCTGTAATCCCAGCTATTCGGGAGGCTGAGGCAGGAGAATCACTTGAACCCAGGAGGCAGAGGTTGCAGTGAGATGAGATTGTGCCACTGCACACCAGCCTGTGGGACACAGCAAGACTGTCCTTAAAAAAAAGAAAAAAGTTGCAGATTGAACATGATCTGTGAACATAATGTATATGCAAAGCACTTTGTAACACTGTACACCAATGTTACACTAATGGTCAGTATTGCTATTATTAACAGCCATCTTCCGATGACTTGAAACAATTTTTAAAGGCTCACAGGAGAAATAAGAACCACAAATATGTAGCGCGTAAGTCTCCAAAATGCTTACTGTTGATGACATCATTGACTGCAGTGGGCCCCTTGTATGCCCAACTTTGCTGGATTTAGTGAGCTGGGTGGTGGATATTGTTTGTTTATTTAACTTTTATGTCCAGGGTTTACATTATTTATGAACATTCACTTCTCATGAACCACTTGGGCTGTTTTCACAAAAGCTTGCAATTCAGTTATTGCTGTGGACAGGATCCATCCTTTTGGAAACCTTTAATTTTTCTCTAGCAGAGAGGGCCAAATGTTAAATAAAAAATGCATTCTATATTTCCAACTTCCTTTACTGCCAATGATCTGTGGAAAATTAAGCAGAATTATCATAGGGTGCAGCAATTTGACTTAGAGGTATACATACACACGAAATAATTGAAAGCAGCGACGTGAACAGATATTTGCACACCTGTATTCATAGCAGCATTATTCACAATAGCCAAAAGGTGGAAACAACCCAAGTGCCCATCACCAGACGAATGGATATACCAAACGTGGTCTGCACATACAGTGGAATAGTACTCAGCCTTACAAAGGTAGGAGATTCTGACCCATGCTGCCACGTGGATGAACCTTGAGGACATGTAAGCCAGTGACAGAAAGACAAATGTTGTGTGATTCTACTGATACTAGGTCCTAGAGTAGTGAAAGTCCTAGAAAGTAGAATGGTGGTTCCAGGGGCTTAGAGAAGGAGGAAATGGGAGGTGGGTGTTTAATGAGTGCAGAGTTGGTTTGGGAAGAGGAGATGGATGGTGGAGTTGGCAGCACAACATACCAGTATAGTGCTTTACCATAGTAAAAAAAATTAAGAACTGTGATGATCAACTTCGGTTCAACTGAATAAACATTAATTAGTCTATTCTATGTGAATCCTTTATATTCCATACTCACCTGGGTGACTGAGGCTGTGAAGGAGAGTCGGGCAGCTTGGAGGGCAGACTCAGCTCCAGGAATACAGTGTTTTGTGCCTAATAATGAAGAGATACAGTGTGATGACCACTGAGAGTGGCAGTTTTTTTTTGGTGTGTGGGGGAGATGGAGTTTTGCTTTTGTTGCTTAGGCTGGAGTGCAATGGCATGATCTCAGCTCACTGCAACCTTCCACCCCGAGTTCAAGTGATTTTCCTGCCTCCGCCTCCCGAGTAGCTGGGATTATAGGTGACCGCCTCCATGCCCAGCTAATTTTTTGTTTTTGTTTTAGTAGAGATGGGGTTCACCATGTTGGCCAGGCTGGTCTTGAACTTCAGACTTCAGGTGAGCCACCCACCTTGGCCTCCCAAAGTGCTGGGATTACAGGCGTGAGCCACCATGCCTAGCTAGGGCTGGTAATTTTAATTTAATTTAAAGCGTAGTTAAGATTAACCATTATCATATGGTTTTGGAAGCCCTGGTACAAAGGAAAGGTGTGTGAAACTTGGGGTCCTGGGGGAGGGTGCTTCTGAATTCTCCAGAAGCGTTATTTGAATCATCATCTCAGGAGTTTGGGGGAAGAGATGCCACGTCAGTGTTGAATGGAATCATTGAATTCCCCCCACTTTCTTTCCAGGCTTCCACACTGCACACTCCGCAGCGAACACTTCTGGGCTAAAATGATTTGATAGCTAGGGGATTACATCTAGATGTGAGTGATGTTACAGTGAAGCTCAGTAGACAGCTTGGTTCTGAATTTTACACAGAATTTGAAAATGAGACTCTTTTGAAAGAAATGTAGTTTGTTAACTCACATCAATGAAATGGGCTCTCCATAGTGTTTTTCCAGGTCCTGTGGAATAGATGTGCTTTAAGAATAGAGGGAGATTGATTTGTAATTAGGCTGTCAGTTGTCAGCAAAGCAGTAGCCTTGCCAAGCGCCTGGGGGGCCCTCAAAATAGTTTTTTGTTTAAGTAATTTAAATCTTATTTCTGCAACGCAGTCTGGTTGTTTTTTTTTTTTTTTTTAAGAAAATTAGCTTGGCCAACCCTTTTCCCCTGGTTTGGGAAAGATGGGGCATAGCCCTGACTACCTGGATGCTCAGAGGCAGTTCGTGTTGAGAATAAACACACTGCATGATTTGCTTTTGGGAGGAGTCATGGTCTATTATTATTTTAAAGACTGTATAGTAGATGCCTCAAAATCTTTTACTACATGAGTATTTCATCACTTTGTATACTCAATACTCAGATTTTCAATGAGTGTACAATTTAGCTTAATAGTTTTGGTGGGGTTTTTTTGTTTTCGTTTTACTGAGTTTCTGAGTTCAGTCAGGGTGGATCAGTGACCAAGAGGAAAACCAGGTTTAGTGCTGAATAGATTTACTGAACCAGAAGTCTTCCTGTAGTGTGGAGAGGTCCACAGAATGATTTTGAACTGGCTCCTGCCAACCTTAGGGCTGGACCATGGGAAGGTGACTGGCATTCAGGCGGTTGTGACCATGGCTGGACGTGTAGGGAGGAGGGGACTGCCACACATCTTGTGGCACAGAAAGGAGGTCTGATGTCTCCGATATGCCTGCACACACTCATTCATGTCTGCTCTTTAGCCAGTATGGGGTCACAAAGCTGAATTAACCAGAAGGAAAGGACTGGAGGCTTCTATGTGCCCACACTGTGCAGCATAGGTATGGAAGTGCCTATTGGCATCTTGGGTTGTTTTGTTGAAAAGATAGTTTTGGGGACTGCAGGTCTTGGAATAATCCTGATGTTGAAGGTTAGTTCTTTTCTTTTTTTTTTGAGACGGAGTTTCACTCTTGTTGCCCAGGCTGGAGTGTAATGTCACAACCTCAGCTCACTACAAGCTCCGCCTCCTGGGCTCAAGGAATTTTCCTGCCTCAGCCTCCTGAGTAGCTGGGATTACAGGCATGTGCCACCATGCCCAGCTAATTTTTGTATTTTTCGTAGAGACAGGGTTTCTCTATGTTGGTCAGGGTGGTCTGGAACTCCTGACCTCAGGTGATCCACCTCCCTCAGCCTCCCAAAGGGCTGGGATTACAGGCATGAGCCACCACACCTGGCCACTAAACAGTTTTATAATATTTTCCAGCAATTTGCTGCATAATATGGAGTAAAAACTAAGCGTGAGCCTTCAAAAGAATTTGAAGATATGAAAGATAACGCAGTGCCAGCTGGAAGAATGAGAGGGAACGGTGGAAGGTCTTCTCACACATTTGTTTCTGGCGGGTCAGCACTGGCCAGGTGGGTCCTCCTTGGGTTTCTCCAGGAGCCCCAGGGCCATGGACAGCCCCACCCCGGGTCACCCAGCTTCACACGTTCCTCTGACTCTTAACTTGTTGGTGCTGGTTTCTCCTGAGAATTTGTTTAGTGTTTGGTTGGCTTGTTCATAAAATAGTTGTGTGCCAGGCACTGTTCTAAACGCTGAGTTAGGAAACTTCTGAGCAGCCACCCAGCAATCACTGTTCCCATTTGTTTGCCTCCAGGTGTGTCTAGAGGAAATGTGTATTCTCTCCTAGCCTTGAGTTGGCGGATGGGCTCTCCCTTCACCCCCCGCCTTCCTGAGTTGGGGCATTGGAGGCAATGGGTCCTGCCCTCCACTTTACCAGCACAGGGAAGCCTTTCCGGTGGAGCTCAGAGTCAGATTGAGGGTGTGGGGTAGGGCGAAGCAGCAGGGAGAACAGGGCATCTGGGTTGACTGGCACTGGGTGGCTTAGTGGTCAGTTGCCTTTTCTTCACCTCTCTAGTCCTCGCCCCAGCTGCCTCAAGTAGTCCCTGGAGGATAGCAAGGCAGGATGCCAGCATGCTGATGCCTCTGCTGCTGTGCAGAGATCGCGCTCTCCCAGGGATTTGTCCACCTCAGACACTGCAGCTCAGTTCAGAAGGAGAGACAGAGTGCTTTTAATCCCTCCTATGATACAAGGACCCTGTTTAATGCCAAAAATATAGTGGCTGTGTTTCTAAAGTATTCCTTGAGAGACTACATAAGGACAAAAACAACTACAAATTTAGCAGCAGTAGGAATTTTAAATTAATTTCAATTTTATTAATGTCAGCCACATCTCTATTCATTTGAAAACTCTAATGTGGGACACATCTGTTTTGTCTGTAAGCAGTGATTAATGTGCACATGGATTCCTGCCCCATTGAACTAAGTTCCGGGGATCCCGGCCACAGGTGGGCAGCCACTACTTCCCTGGCAACAGTTACTAACGTGGGGGCAGATATGACCTGTTTCTCAAACTTCAATTTTTCTTAAAAAAACTAAAGCTAATAATGCAAAACATGTGTAGACAGTTCTGGTTAAAGAAAACTGGTACCTTATTACATAGAGTGGAGCTATTCAGATATGTGACCTGAGTATCGGGCAACCTGGCTGTGCTCTGTGTCGCTGGCCGGCATTGCCATGAGTCTTGCCTCTCTATAGGCCACAGGTCTGGAAAGCCTGCACACAGTCCCAAGCGAAGAGGGCCTCTACAGGAACTGGAAATGGGAAAGTTGCAGGGGTTGGCCGCAGACTCACTGAGAACTGACTTTACGCCTCCTTCTAGTCAAACCAGCCACCTGGCTTGCTGGGCCACCATAGGGAGAATGGAAAGATGGCAGCCACCAGCAGCAGCGTTTCTGACAGGTCTCCAACTAAAATCACTCTAAAATTAGTTTTCTCTCCTAAGGCTGACATTTTGGGTGTCTGGAATCTTTCTTTAAATGGCTGCTGCTGGGTAAGTGCACACTGTGGTTCTGGATCCGCCAGGTTTCCCGAGTGTCTTCTGTCCCTCGCGCAGATCTGAGGACCAGTTGTGCCCTGGGAAAAGAGGGACCCACTTTGCCCTCAGAGCTCCTTCCAGCCTCAAGGAGAGAGAGGGGCAGGGGCAGCCTCATCACACACGATGCACATGCTGGCTGAGCTGCTGGAGAGTCAGGAATCCTGAAGGCTGGCATGTGTGGAGACGCTGGCTATGCAGATTTAATGACTGCCACTCTTGAGAGCAGTCACTGGAAACCCTTGGCACAGTTAGAGTCCACACTGGCAGAAGAACAGCAGAAGTGGACACCCGTTTGCTCTCTCAACGGGCCACTTTTCCTCCAGCACCTGAGCTGCTTTTGAAACCCTCCAGGCACTGGCAGCAGAGGAGGAAGGGCTGGGTGGAAGGGACTGAGCTGAGTCCCTGCTCTGCCACCTGTCAGCTGCATGGCCCCAGGGCAGATCCCTCCACCTCTCAACCCACGTTCCCTTGGTGTAAAGTGGGAATGGTGGATTGGCAAGAGTGTTGAAGAAGAGAGAGGAGGTGCAGGAGTAATGAAAAGACCTGTGGCTTTATTTCTCCCCCAACACCACCGAGCCAAAAGGTTTTGGATGGTACCTCAGCCAACAGGCTTCTTCCCTCTTGTGTGTAGGCACAGGTGGGGATGGTTCTCCTGGTGTCCTGAACCTTACTTGGGGGCAGCTAGCCCTCCAGCCTTTAAAATATATAAATATATATATGGATTGATTTTGTGTAATTGACAGTAATTATACATGTTCATGGGGTACACAGTGAAGTTTTGATACTTGTCATGTAGAGTGACAAGCTCCGTGTGGTTAGCATCCATCATCAAACATTTATCTTTTCGTTTTGCTGGGAACATCCAGCATATGGATGTCCTATTTGAAACTATGTAGTGTGTTATTGTTACTACACTTGAGCTCAGTCAGAAGGCCGAGAAGGAATAGTGTGTTACTGTTCACTACAGTGGTCTAGGTGACCACAGTGCTGGAACTGACTCCTCCTATCTGGCTGTAATTTTGTATCCTTTAGCAAACCTCTCCAATCCCTACCTTCTTCCTACCTGTCCCAGCCTCTGGAACCCTCAGCTTCTTACTGGCAGGTCTGGGCTGACCTGGCTTCCCCGGCCTTGATCTCTGCTTCGACCGTCTTTGTGCAGTGCTTATACAGTGCTTCAGAACGACAGGTGTACAGGACAGGTACCCGAGACCCAGTGGATCTCAGGATCTCTTTAAATGTTCAGAGGAAGCTTTAAAAACTTTCAGGTTGATCATAGATAAAGCAGAAGAAACATGGGCATGGTGAATATCTGAAGCCAAGTAAAGCAAGGTAGCGGGTGGGTACAACCTGGAAATAGTATTAGTTTGCTAGGGCTGCCATAACACAGGGCCACAAACTGCGTGGCTTAAGGTAACCAAAATGTATTGTCTCACCATTCCTGCAGGCTGGACGCCTAAGAGCAAGGTGTCGGCATGGCTGGCTCCTTCTGAGGGTTATGGGGAGTGTCTATGCCAGCCTCTTTCAGCTGCCGGTGGCCTCTGGCGTCCCGTGGCTTGTCGATGACAGTCTTCTCCCTGTCTTCACATCATCTTCCCTCTGTATGTGTCTGTCACCGTATCCAGATCTCCAGTGTTTTCTAATAGGGCACCAGTTATATTGGATGAGAGCACACCCTCACAACCATAGCGTACTTGGTCTTCTGTAAAGACTCTATTTCAAGTAAGTTCACACTCAGAGATCCTAGGGGTTAGGACTTAAATGTCTTTTCAGGGGACACACAATTCAACCCATTACAGAAATTAAAGGCAATTCACAGAATAAAGTAGAATAGTCAATATGTGCATGAAAAGATGGTCGACTGCACTGGTAACTTTCAAAATGCAAATTAAAACAAGGAGAATGGCAGAAATCCACAGGCGACCAAGGCACATGTCACTGAGGACACACTTAGCAGTGGTCAGCCATGGCCATTGGAGAGTCAGCGAAGTGAATGGCTGCCTTTGGAAGGTTCTGGCCACATCTGTAGAAGTTGAAGGTGGTGTGCTCAACAGCAGCAGCATGACCTGCAGATACTGAACTGAGAGAATGTCAGAAGCCCTGGTCCCTAGCACCAGGAGACATGTCTGAGGACTTAAAGCACTGTGGGGCTGCCTTCTTTCTTTTCTTTTTTTAATTTGAGACAGTCTTGCTCTTTGGCCCAGGCTAGAGTGCAATAGCTCACGATTCTCCTGACTCAGCCTCCCAGGTAGCTGGGATTACGGGTGCAGACCACCACACCTGGCTCATTTTTATGTCTTTAGTAGAGAGGGGTTTCACCATGTTGGTCAGGCTGGTCTCAAAATCCTGACTTCAGGTGATCCTTTTGGGAGCCTTGGGCTCCCAAAGTGCTGGGATTATAGGTATGAGCCACTGCGCCTGGCTGGTGGGGCTGTTTTTATAAGGAAAAACCAAAGAGTGACCAGGCGCTGGTCCGTAGCGGAACGGGTATGTATGCAGTGGTGTCTTCATGTGAGGAATACCATGGAGCAGGCAAATAACATGGATAAGCCCAGCCTCTGTGTCAGAACATGGGTAGAGTGCCAAGACCACATGAGGGAAAGACACAGTTGTACAACAGGACCTATGGTGTGCTGGCATGCTGGAATGTGAAGCATGCTGTGGATTACTTCCGGACACATCCAATGTGGCAAGAGGATGACAGCCACCCAGGTAGCCAAATCCGCAGCAGAGGATGCCCCTGGGGATGAAGAGAGGGGAATGGGACTGAGGAGGGCCTGGAGCAGGGACCTCATGCGTCTGCATGTTCTGCTGCTTTCATCACGGCTAGAGGAGAGAAAAGGCCCGAAGCAAATATGAGAGCACATTTTCATTTGCTGCTTCTGAGTGGTGGGTCCATCGGCCTTTGTGTTTTCCTCCCACCCGGAAAATGGAAAGGCTTTGGAGCCAGTCCAATATATATCAGAATCATTGTATGAGTTTTATAAACTTAGAAAAGTTACTTAGCTTCTCTAAAGCTCAGTTTACTTATTTGTAAAATGGGGTGATGATACTTATTTTGCAGTGGGGCCGTGAATTTAGTAAGATAAGGTCTAGCATATGATTGGGCATGTTACCTTCCATAAATGAGAGCTGCTGATGATAAAGATCATCAACATAAATCACTTACTTAGAGATTCCCCAGGTTTGTTTTGTTTTTTTTTTTTGAGACAGGGTCTCACTCTGTCACCCAGGCTGAAAGTACAGTGGTACAGATCTTGGCTCACTGCAACCTCCACCCCCTGGGCTCAGGTGAGCCTCCCACCTCAGCTTCCCGAGTAGCTGGGGCCACAGGTAACATGACATCACGCCTGGATAATGTTTGTATTTTTAGTGCAGACAGGGTTTTACTATGTTGCCCAGGCTGGTCTCAAACTCCTGGGCTAAAGCCATCTGGGATTACAGGCGTGAGCCACTGTGCCCAGCCAATATGCTTCTCTACACTGGGACCGCAGGCCACCGCTGCTCAAGATACGTGGAGCAAATGAGTTTTGTGTTGCCTGGTCCATGGAGTTGATTTCTGAAATATGAACCAGCAAAAAGAGGGACACTACCTTTGTGGGGAGTATTTTATTTTTATTTTCTAAGACAGGTCTCACCCTCTGCCCAGGCTGGAGTGCAGTGGCTCCATGATAATTCACTCTGCCTTAACTTCCCAGCTCCAGCCTTTCCCCCGAGTATCTGGGATTACAGCTCCTGCCACGATGTCCAGCTAATTTTTGTATTTTTTGTAGAGATGGATTTTGCCATGTTGCCCAAACTCCTAGCCTCAATAAATCCGCCTGCCTTGGCCTCTCAAAGTGCTGGTATTATAGGTGTGAGTCACTGCACCTGGCCCCTTTGTGCGGAGTGAACGAGGGAAACATTATGTGGGTGAATGGTTGTGGCAGTGATGTGATCAGCTGGCCGTGGTGGCATTCACACACAGGTTTGATTCCCTTGACATTGTGGGGGCTTTTTCTCAATTATTAAGCAGTGTTAAGTGATGGCAGTAGTTGGCTGACATGTAAAGGCAGAGACAGTCTCGTCCTGTGTCCCTGCTGGTGAGGATGGGCCTACTGTTGAAGCCAGGAGCCTCAAGGTCATCTCTGTCTTTGGGACAGTCTGAATGCCGGTGCTTCCCAGCTTTTTCCTGCCCACGACACACTTCTTGCCATTTGTACCTAGGAGTGTGTCTCTGCCTCAGCCGCAGCCACCTCTGCAAACATCATCTTCACCCAGGCCTTCCTTTGCAACCACCATCCCCACTTCCCATCTAAAATTGGCACAGAGGAGTGACACATCTTGACCAGGATGTCTTGGAGACACACCCAAGCGCCTTATTGCCTTCTGGGAAGCAGTGAATTCTCCCCCTCACAAGAGGAGAGAAGCCACAGCGATGAGTTCATTCCTTTGTGTGTGTTGTAGGGCACTTTGGATGACCTTGGGGACATTTAGAAGTGGGGAGCAGGCGAGGAGGACAGCAGAAGCTGGAGAAAGGAACTGAAGGGAGAAAATGTCTCACCACTGTTTATGCCCAAGATTTAAATGTTCCTTAAATTCTGCTTTTTCAGAGGAAAGTCTTTTCTGCCAGTCATTTTCTCTGAAATGCCCTTAACTCCCTTGTCATTTGCCACAAATACTGTTAACTGGACTCACACATATATGTGTACCTTAATGATTCATTTATTCTGTAGACAGTGGTCACCCGTGCTGAGCCGAGGAGATTAGGGTGTGGGGGCTGCAGTGTTGGCCCTCCCAGGAGTCTGACAGTGTCTGTCCCCTGGGAGCTGTGTGGCGGGAGCTTACTGATTGAGAAAGGAGCATGGCGGGACTGTCTGGGGCAGGCTTTGGCAGCAGGCGTCTCCGAACTGCTGCTTTCCTGCATCTCTGGAGTTGCATGGGAAGCTGGGTAGAAATGGAGCTGGTGGGTCAGGAAGGCATCCTGGAAACTTGGGGCGCAGCTGGGAGGTGATGGAGAGTCTCTGGGTGGCCTGGTGTGAGGACCCTGAGCTGCTGATGCCACAGGGCTGATGTCTGTGGTGGGCAGCATGTATAGGCAAAGCCTTCATTTTCTCCCTCCTGGTCATCTCTCTGTAGAACTGGGATGGTGCTGACCTGCCCTGTTCACATCAGAAACCCCAGGGGGTATCAGGTAAAGCTTGGGAGGAAGCTCTTGCCCCTTTTTTTGAGTTGGAGTCTCACTTGTCTCCCAGGCTAGAGTGCATTGGTGCCATCTTGGCTCACCGCAACCGCCTCTCTGGTTCAAGCAATTCTCGTGCCTCAGCCTCCTGAGTAGCTAGGACTACAGGCACATGCCACGAAGCCCAGCTAATTTTTTGTGTGTGTTTAGTAGAGACAGGGTTTCACCATCTTGGCCAGGCTGGTCTTGAACTCCTAACCTTGTGATCCACCTGCCTAGGACTCCCAAAGTGCTGGGATTACAGGCATAAGCCACCACGCCCAGCCAGGAGGAAGTTCTTTCTATCTTATTCATTTAAAATGTTATTACTTTTTTAATTGTGGTAAATTAGCATAGCACACAGCTAACCACGTTAACCAGGTTTAAGTGTACCTTTCAGTGGCATTAAGTCTGTTTCGGAGGAAGCTTTTTAAGATTAAAGATGTGCTAGCAACCTTATTTAAAGACAGGGTCTCGCTCTGTTACCCAGGCTAAGTGCAGTGGCGTGATCATAGTTCACTGCAGCCTCTACCTCCTGGGCCCAAGCGATCCTCCCACCTCAGCCTCTAAGTAGCTGGGAACACAGGTGCACGCCACCATGCCCAGCCAGCAACCTCATGATGATTTACCATGTTAGCGTCCAGCTGTCCTGTCAGTTCTCAGAGCTCAGATTCTCCTGTAACTGCTGTGGGGAGAGGGAGAGGAGGAGAGGGCTAGAGACGCACTGTGTCTTAGCTCTGTGCCGCCCCTGCCTCCCATCTCCCCGGTCCCTCTTCCTTTGAATCTCTGTCTCCACCAAACTCTGCTTGGGGGATGTCACCACACAGCCTTCAGTCTTCTTCTGCTGAGGTGAGGCCTGGCATGGGGACAGGTTGCTCTGCCACCTCAGGGTGTTGTTTTATGGGAGGCCTGGCCCAGAGGCTAGCTTGGGTCTCGCCTCTATCACTGGGTGGGAGCCTCTGCCCTGCCATGGTGCCCAGGGGCCTTCAGGGACTCCAGAATATATCCTCAAAATATCCTATGCCCATCCCTCCTTTTCAGCCAGAAGAACTCCGATCAGTGTAGCTCATGGCGGTCCATGGTGAATGCAGCCCAGTGCAGGCTCAGAATGCCACGTGATGGGGCTAAGTGGGCTGAGCAGCCCGGAGCGTGTTTGTTGAAGGGTAGGAAACTCATGTTAATGAGTATCAAACAGATGCAGAACACTTTTCACATGATGAATTCTTTCAGTGTTACTGCTTAGAATCTGGTTTACTTTTCCCCAAACGCTGTAGACATTCTTGGCTTCTCAGCTTGGAGAGCGTGTGGCCTTCAGTCCTCAGAAAACTCTGTCCTGAATGATAGTGTTGGAGGCCTCTCTCTCCCTCCTTCCTCTTTCCATCTTTCTCTCTGAGGCAGCGGCAGTGGAAGTGCCCACCTAGGATGGGCGCGAGGCCCAGGGCAGGGCTGGGTGCCGTGCAACCTCAGCAGCTCTGATGGGCCGGCTGCAGAGCCACTGAGAATCCTTTGGGTGCTCGAGGGGATGTAGTGGGCTCTCCCAGGCACAGTCCTGACCAGGAGCGGAGGCGACCCTCATCTCTCGGGCAGGATGCATGCGGTTTTCTGCCATCCCCGTGAGCATGTGACCCCTGGGAAGCAGTGGCCTGGAGGTGATTCACCCGGGGGAGTGGGGCCTAGAAAACAATGTCTGTTTTGAAGCTCCGGGAACCAGGAAAATGAGCTGGAAATGTGAGTAATGTATAATTTTACTAAAATTAACCAGCCAGTTCTCTGGGCCTTGTCTCACTGTGTTTTCAGTGTCTTTGTCTGACTGTTGTGCCCACTGCACTGTGTTCCATGGACTATCTTTCCGGTTAGTGTGCCTGGAAGTCCCCTTCTCCCCACTGCCTTGCGTAGGGTGGGCGCACAGTGGGGCCATGGGAACACAGATTTAGGTGCAGGCTGCCCCATCCTCACCTCTGCCCTGGCAGCTGGTGGCCCTGGCATCCCTCTCCTCTGTGATGTGGTCTTATAGTCATGCTTGGATTTCCCAAGTTGCAGCTGAGTCATCCAGGTGACGGTGCTGTGCCCCTAGGACATAAGGTGCGAGGGTGGGCAACGCCTTATGTACCACAACCTTGGTTTTGGCTGTGGGCAGACACGGCCTGAGCTTCAGGCTGCTCCTCCTTGCCACCCGGGAGTGTCTTCATCCTTGGACTTCTGCAGCCCTGTGCCAGCTCCCATGGCGGCGCCACCTCGCCTGGAGCCACAGCCGTCACTGGGGAGCCACAGCTCCTCCCAGGCCCTTCTGTCCCTGCTAGATTGTAGGCCCATGAGAAGGCAGGGCTGTGGCTTCCTTTCTGTAACCTCCCAGGAAGGGATGCAACTAGCACTGGTTGAATAAACAGAAATCTAAATTCAGAGGCAGACTGTGTCTGAGGCTCTCACGAATCCATGACGATTCAGGATTCAGCCCCCAGGTCTGTGCTCTTCATGAGGCAGCCCATGGAAGCATCAGCTTGGGTAGAGAGAAGACTGTGTTGGGGAATCCATTCACTCATGTTAAAAAAGAAATTGTGTCTTATCTGAATTTAAAAGGGAGCGGGATGCCGAAGGTGAGTGTGTGTGGTGACACTGATGAACTGAGTGTTCAGGAACCAAAGCCCTGTTTAGGTAGAAGCCAGAGGATCTCAGGCCTCCTTGGCCTGACGTCCGTTCAGTGGCAAGTTCTTCTGTGACGTCTGGGATCGTAACCCTTGAGGCATTTCATTGCAGAAACCTGTGCTGTCTTCTGAATAGCCGCAGACAGATGACATTATGGACAGGCTGGTTTCAGTATAAACTTTATTATTAATATTTTATTTTAATGTTTGGAAAATTGCCGGGATGTGTGTGGCGCAGGTAGAACCTACTATCTAGACTGGCCAGAACACTGTCTTCTGTGTTTGTCTTAACGGGCTGAATGTTTATTCCCTAATTGCTTTTAAGACATTTTGTGTCATCAGCCAGAGAATAAAAGGAGAAAAATGCGTAAAGGAATGCTGGGTGCTGTCCAGCTACGCACCCTATAATCAGTACACGCAGCTTAGGACTGATGGGGTTCTCTTGGTACTCACTGATGATTGCAGTGCGCGTCATGATTGTTTACATTTGTGGTCCTGTTCGTCCCTCATTTAGAGCCCTGTGGGTGGATCTTACTATGACCACGATTGCTTGAGGACGCCGAGGCTCGGAATGCCTCAGGGGCACTAAGTGGCAAGCTGAGTGCATGCCCCTGCTAGAGATGGCACAGAGTGACATCATGACATCACAGCCGAGGCTGCACTCAGGCTCTCTCGTGCTTCTTCTGAGCCCTTAACAGCTCACTGATGGGGCTGCAGAGTTCATCTGAAGGCTTGAACACGCTTCCAGTTGAGTCCTCAGCCCTCCAGCTCTCCACAACTCTGCCCATCCACAGTTCCCCTCCATAATACCTGCCTTTCTTATCCCGTCACCCATGCGCAGTTTCTCTTCATTCATTCATCAAGTCACTCTGCGCCAAAGGTAGCAAGGGTAATGAGATAGGTGGGACTCAACTAGCACCCTCGGAGGCTCCTGCATGTGGGGAGGGGCAGGTTCCTAGATGAAGAGACCATTGACAGTGGGTGATGGGTTCCATATTCAAGGTTTGCACAGGGCGCTTCAGGATTCAGAACACTGCAGCTGTGGTTGACAGTGCAGGAAAAGGGAGGAGGGAGGCCGGAGCAGCACCACATGTACACAGCCACAGAGGCATAGAGTTGGATGTGTCTTATTTGAGCAGTGGCATGCATATAGACGGTTGGAACTATGGAGCACAACATTTGGAGGTGTGGAGCCAGAGGTGAGGATGGGAAGGTGGCCAGGGCCAGAGGCCACCATGGCCAGTGCTGAGCTGCTAAAAACATTAAGGACTGGATGTGGTTGGATTTGCCTTATAAAGAGGCTGCTCTGGAATGGATACAAGCAAAGCAGAAAATCTGAATAAGGCTAGTAGTTGTCTCATTGTCGATATCCTGGTTGTGATATTGTACTACATTTCACCAGACATCACCATCGGGGGAGTCAGGGTCAAGGATGCATGGGATGGCTCCGTGTTGTTTCTTACTACTGCACGTTAATCTACAGTATTAGAAAGGTATGCCTGTCACCTGCGTGTGTGTGTGTGTGTGTGTGTGTGTGTGTGTGTGTGTGTGAGAGAGAGAGAGAGAGAGAGAGAGAGAGAGAGAGAGAGAGAGAGAGAGAGATTAAGCCAGTCTGGGAGTGGGGCTGTGGCTGTTCCTTCACCAGGGCAAGCTCAGTCTTTTCTGCTAGTTAAAGACAGGTGACTACTTGCAGACTCTGTAAATAATTTGTGTTTCTTAAAGAAAATTCACTGAAATCATGATTCACACATTTTTCTCGAAAAGACCAGCTTATTAAGGAAAAAGATTACTCTGTCAGTGGAGGACATGGTGGATTCAAGGGGCAAGACCCAAGGCAGAAGGAATTGTGGGACTCCTAGAATCTGTGGCATCAGAGCAGATGCCACGGGTCGGCTAGCAGCCTGAGCTGGTTGTTGATCAGTCTGAGTCTCGGGGTTCTCATCTGGGAAGGGGGAGGTGGCGGCATTGCCTGCTCAGTGCTGTTGGGAAGATGGAATGAAGTGGGGAGGGTGGACCAGGACTGGCTGTGCCTTACCTGGGTCGGGGGTCAGTGTCTAATAGACACAACACATCACAATGCCTTCAGACTAACACATGGGATGGAGGTGGTACCGACCGTCTCACCTGGATGCCATGTGGCATCGCCTGAGAGCTCAGCACATGGCCAGGGCTAGTGATGGGCCTTCTGGAAGCAGGTCACTCTTGCTGGTGGTCCTGGACGGGAGAGCTGCGCACTGGCTCTCCCTGTTCTCCTGACCGGAGAATAGTTTACCAGGAGCACCAGAGCAGATGCTGCCACGTGTTGGCCAGCAGCCTGAGCTGGTTATTCCACCAGTCTGAGTTCTTGTCAGGAAAGCAGGTGATGATGGCATTGCCTGCTTAGTGCTATTGGGAATATGGGTAAGCAGTACTGTGGAGGCTTAGAACAGGGCCTGGCGTGTAGGGTGCAGTTGCAACCCCATCCTATCTAAATGGCAGGTCCTTATCAAACCAGCTTGGCCTCCAGCTCTCCATGTTCCCAGGGAGTGGAGATTATTATAGAATTATAGAATTATTATAGAAGTGAACAGAGAGTTGGGCAGAGGACACCACAGAGTTGGGGGCTCCATCTTCTGTGGAGCTGGCTTTGGACTCCACTGGCAGCAGCCGCCCCGGCACCCAAAGGCTTTGGTGTTGGGCTGACCAGGGCTGGCAGCCAGCTCTTCACTGTGCTCCCGGACCATGCGACCTGAGCTTTAGGGTGAAAAAACAAGTAACATGGAGGGCCTGGCACACAGACACTGTCCCTTTTGCCTTTCAGAAAATTGCCAGGGATTCTCCTCTGAAGGCTTATTCCTCTTTTTCAGGAACAAGACTACCAACGGAGACTGCCGCAAAGACCCCCGGGAGCGGAGCCGCAGCCCCATTGAGCGTGCCGTGGCACCTACCATGAGCCTGCACGGCAGCCACCTGTACACGTCCCTCCCCAGCCTTGGCCTGGAGCAGCCCCTCGCACTAACCAAGAACAGCCTGGATGCTAGCAGGCAGGCCGGCCTCTCGCCCACACTGACCCCAGGGGAGCGGCAACAGGTGGGCCTCTGTCCGGGAGGGTGGCTGGGAGAGTCCAGGGGCTGGAGGACTAAGCTGAATGGAGAGTCCCGAACAGAGGACCCCGAGGGCAGTAGTGAGGGATGCCACCCTTAGCTTCTGTTATGTCCTTAGGATAAGGGACAGCAGAACAGGAGTCCTCCTCTTCTGCTTTTACTTCCTACCCAGACCTGCCTGGGCCTTTCTTAGCACTCATGCCTTGGACAAGGTCAGTGTCACTGGGGCTTCGTCTCTTTCCTTCCACAGTACAGGATGGTGTGCTGAGGTGTTTTCACCGCAGTCTTCTGTGGCAGGCCTGCTTGTCTTAGGGTCAGTGTACTCATCCTCATGGGAGTCCTGTTTCTCCATTAGAAGGTCACTCGGATGAAGGGAATTGTCAGGTTGCTTTCCTTGCCTTGAGCTGGGGTCCTGCACAGTTGGTGGTAACAGGGTTGTGAGCCCATGCCGGTCAGAAGCCTATGATTGGCACATAGGGATTTTTTTTCTATTAAAGGAACATAGAGAATTAAATGATGATTTAGTAAACACAGTTTGCTTGGTAGAAACCAATCTTTCTAAAAATGGGGTTCCTGGTGAAATGTATAGAAGGCAGCAGGCTCCGAACCCTGCCTGAGCTCTCTGAACCTCCTGGGCCTGCGACCTAATAGGTCCTTAGTCAGTAATTAGCATTTTCTTAAGACTGACAGAGAGGATGGTGCTATGCCCCACGGGAGTGCCTGCAGCTCTGTGTATTCAGCTGTGAAGGCCTCTGTGTGCCTGCAGCAACCCCAGGGCTTCTCTCGGAGCAGCACTGTCTGGTCTCTGTCTCTGATGGGGTCTGTTATAACTGTGGGTGGGAGGCCCTGGGAGTTGAGAGGTGGTTCTGTTGCTTGGGAATCCCAGTGAAGCTGAGAACAGTTGCCCATCCTGCCTTGGAGCCTGACCTGGTAATCCTGCTTTTTCGATTCATTCATTTAACAAAATGCCATAGACCCTATTGTGTGCTGGGGGTACCAGAAGCTTGTCGAGCAAGATCTGGTCTTTGTTCCCAGCACACTCTGTTTTGGTCTGGAGGAGAGACCACTGATGTGTCTGATGGAACCTGGGGCCGAGTTATCACTGTTTTTCATTTCAGCGTTTTACTAGCCCTCTGTGGAGTGAAGCTCTGGGCAGCCAGAGGTGTGTGTAGACACTGTCATGGCCACAGGGAGCTCCCAGTCTAGCTGGAAAATGGATGTGAGGAGAGAGGATTGTGTTCCTGGGCAGCAGCAGGGGCCAGAGCAGAGGCATGTGGGCAGTAGGACCCACAGACCCACTCACTGCACCCCGGGGTGGGTAGTGGACCTGCTTTCTGCTTTGTGAAGCTCAACAGGCATTGTAATGATGCCATGAGCCATGGCCTGGATCGTGTAGGTGGAACCTGGCTCTCTGGCCATTGCCACTGCTGTTGGGAAGTCTCTGAAGGACAGGGGTACGGAGGGGAGGAATCAGGTGTAATCTCAGAGCACCCGTGTCCAGGCTCTGGGCCTTGGTGCCTCATGTGCTGTCTCGGCCCGCAGGGTCAGGGTGGGCACTTGGTGGTCTTAGTGTTTTCTTGGATGATTTCTTTCCCTGGCTCTGGAAGGCTCTTGAGAATCTTGCCATTGGTTTTCGGTCGCAGTTGTTTTGCAGAAACTCAACTGCTGGACAGAGCAGCCTGGTTATCTTTACCCTGTCTCTCCTTCTCGTCAACCTGGAATGAGCCTGGCTGCCCACAGCACATGTGGCAAGGGCCCCTCCTCATGCTTTGGGGTTCCTGAGCAGCTTTCCTAGGAGGGAGAACCTCGACTCCCCAGCTGTGTCCTTGCAGGATCCTGGCTTGGACTAAGGACAAAGCCAGGAGCCACAAAGCACCCCAAACTGCCTGTTTTCCTGGGAAGGACACAGTGGGTCCGATTGGAGCTGTCATTTTAGGCTGGGGTTGGTGGGGAAGAGAGGGTCAATCTTGCCCTCTTTGGTTGCTGTCAGTGCATCATTCATGTCATGACCATTCATGGGGCTCCTTCCTGCAGCGGCATGGCAGGGCCGAGGCCACACACACCAACCCAAGCTGGGCTCGGGCACCCTGCTGAGGACACCAAGCAGCCGCATTGCCTGCGCTGCAGCAGCTCCGAGACTATTTCCTGGGAGTCTGTTGGGTGTGTCATCCCGTAGCTCAGAGCCAGAGAAGTGGCGGTGGGGAGAGGGCTTCCTGCGGTGACAGCAAAGCTCTGTGTCCACACGGGGCAGAACTCATGCTGTAGCCCTGTGGAGTGCACATGGAAGCCTTCTCATTTGCAGCGGAAACTGACTCAGATCTCTGGGAACTGGGACAGGATAGCACTTTGGGAGGCTGAGGTGGGCAGATCACTTAAGGTCAGGAATTCAAGACCAGCCTGACCAACATGGTGAAACCTCTTCTCTACTAAAAGTACAAAAATTAGCCAAGCGTGGTGGTGGGCACCCGTAATCCCAGCTACTTGGGAGGCTGACAGGAGAATCGATTGAACCTAGGAGACGGAGTCTGCAGTGAGCCAAGATCGCACCATTGCACTCCAGCCTGGGTAAGAGTGAGACCCTGTCTCAAAAAAAAGCTTCACACAGCAAGCCTCAGGGGTTGCTTTCAGATAGGAAAGGTGGGACCTCTCTCCTGTGGGGTAGCCTCTGAGGACAGTGAAGGTGGGTGGGGCAGTGGGTGAAGGGGTTAGAACAGGGCTTTCGACCCTGCCACAAATCTGCAGCATAACTTCCAGCAGGGTGTTTCTGGGCTTCATTTTCCCCATCTGGAAAATACTGGTATGGGGGAGTGGGGTCTCAAGATCTCATAAACGCTCACCATCTGGAGGCCTGGGGCCTGTCCTAGGTGGACGAGTCCCTCTGTGCACTCAGCCACAGAAGCAGGGGCAAGATGCCTGACTCCAGCTGGGAAGGGGTGGCAGTGGAGAACTGGCCTGGGTTGTGGGAGGAGGAGAGGATGCCCAGGCACTGAGCATCTTCACATCTGCAGGTGACAGGTTAAGGAGATTTACCCAGCTCAGGTCAGCAGGTGCCCCGAAGGTGCCTTGATACCAGTCAGCCAGCCTGCTCTGCTGGTCCCTTGCCAGAGAGGGGGCACAGTCTCTTCTGAAGTGGCTTTTCCTGCCTTGGGATAGACTGACATAAAGGCTGGACAGTAAGCTCACTTCTTCATCTTCCTTGATTCCCCCTCCCCCACTTGAAATGTCTCCCCAGTTCCCCACATTTGCATGGGTCAGGACATGCTTGCTGCAAAGAACAAGCCAGCTGAGCACAAGAGGAGGGAGTTTTACTCGGAGTACCCTAGGGTGTCTTCCAGAGCCCAAGGTCATGGGTACAGCTGGGCTCAGGAAGACCCTGGCCATCCCACTGAGAGCTGGACAGGGGCAGGGCCCTCCTTCCTCCTGGCTCTGTTCATGTCCAGCTCTTGGTGGGCATCCTGCTCTCTTGATGCTGCTTGACCCATGGTCAGCCCGGTGTGAGATCTGCACAAGGCCTCATCTCAGTCTCCAACCCCCTTTCCCACCCTGTCTGCTCAGCACCGTGAAGGCCCTTGCCTGAGGCATGGTCCGCAGGCAGAGCGTGGACATTCAGCCCAGCTCCTCTGCACCACTACCTGTGCACACCACAGAGGGCCTATGGCCTCTGGGCAGCTCTGTCCTGCTGCTAAAGTGTTGTGCTACTAAGAAACCCTGAATGTTTGGTTTGTCTGCTCTGCTAAGCCGCATCTCCCCCCACCCTGGCTTGTGTAACTTTTTGTTAGACCTAAGCACAGACCTTTATGTTTAATCCTAGTTCATCCTTGTAGATCCACATTTTCATCATTCCCATTAACTGCCATCTCAAGGAGTTCGGCATGCAAGCCTTTTGTGTCTTTATACCAGCTACTGCTCTGACTTTAATGAAAAGGGCTGGCTGGGGAGGAAAAGGCCTGGCATCCCTCTGGCTGACACTGCTGTCACCATTGGTTGCTGTGGGGTGATTTCAACCAACTCCTCGCTGGCCATCCTGGAACTTAGCCCACATATTCCTCTGCCTTGTCCTTGGGGGGTGTCGGGAAATACCTTTCCTGGGGGAACCTAGGAAGTTGTTTAGTTCACAAATATTTTCTGCCCCAGGTTCTGCACCAAGGCTGGGGGGCTAAACGTACTGCCTGGTGTGCATGGTCTTATGGGAGCACCTGGACAGACTGATGCACTTGCTGGATTTTGGTGGACTGGGGGAGCAGGAGTGAAAAGAGGGAGTAGCCAGTGAAAGGCTTCACAGAGATCTGAACAGGGCTTGAAGGAAAAGGGGAGTTTGCCAGGCACACATCTTGGGGGTGATGAGGAAGGAGAGTGAGGCTGTGCGCAGCTCCACACTCAGGCGCCTTTCCTGTTCCCTGTCCTGATTTGTAGGTCATCACTGAAGCCAACTCAAACTGGCTTTGGCTCAAACAAAATGCTTCCAATTAACTGTCGTGCATTGAAGTGTCCTGGATGGCTTCAGGCACACCCACGGCTCTGTGGACATGATGGGAAAGGCTCTGGGGACAGTAATGGGAGGAGCGAGGTCCCTCCTGCACCCCTCTGCCATCCACAGGACGCCCAGTGTTTGTTGTCTCAAGGCAGATTTGAGAGAGTGGGACAGACCAACTCAGCAGTTGCGCTTTTGTCCTTTGTACCCTCAGTGAGCCAAACAGCCACAACCAGGGGCCGCTACACACACCCTTTGAGCAGCGCTCCTTCTGTGGATTGTCTGTGTTTAGCAGCAGGTCTCCAGTGTTGAAGCGGGAGGTGGCAGACTGGGTCAGGAAGGGCTCCAGGGGCGGTGCCCAGTGCCTAGGTGGTCTCCACATGCTGACACCCCTCCTCCTCACAGAACCGGCCCTCCGTGATCACCTGTGCCTCAGCTGGCGCCCGCAACTGCAACCTCTCACACTGCCCCATCGCACATAGCGGCTGTGCTACACCTGGCCCTGCCAGCTACCGGAGGCCACCGAGCGGTGAGTGTCCCAGGCTTCCTCACCAGTGGCAGCAGAGCCCTTCTGTTATGCTGTTGGCTGAAATCCCTTGTTGCTGAGCCCAGCTATTGCTGAGGTCAAAAGGAGTATTTTTTGAGCACATACAGTGTGCACCTAGCATTGCGCATGGCTTGGGTGGGAAGGGCGTGAGAAACATGTTACCCTCCTCCCTCCCACTCCAGGATATCATGCCCTAGTTGCAGGGAGGGCAGCAGCTAATGTTATTTAAATGTAATGCCATGTTCTCTTTTTGAACTTAAACCCTGGCTTAGTGCAGACGGTATATAACCATTTTACAGAGAAGTGACCTGCCTAAGTGCCCGACGTAGGGGAGGTGGGCTGTTTGCAGAACCCACACTGACCATGGCAGCCAGTCCAGCTCTGGGCTGCCTGAGGGAGGGTGCTGCAGCCACCTGTGTCTGACTGCCTTCCTGCTTGCCTACAGCCACCACCACCTGTGACCCTGTGGTGGAGGAGCATTTCCGCAGGAGCCTAGGCAAGAACTACAAGGAACCTGAGCCGGCACCCAACTCTGTGTCCATCACAGGCTCCGTGGATGACCACTTTGCCAAAGCTCTGGGTGACACGTGGCTCCAGATCAAAGCGGCCAAGGACGGAGCGTCTAGCAGCCCTGAGTCCGCCTCTCGCAGGGGCCAGCCTGCCAGCCCCTCTGCCCACATGGTCAGCCACAGTCACTCCCCCTCCGTGGTCTCCTGAAGGGAGCGCCTCCTCCAACAACACGTGGATGTGCATGGTTTGCCTGAGCTTTGAACAGTCCGTGCTTTTAAAAAAAAAAAAAAAAAAAAAAAAAAAAATGGGGGTGGGGGGAAGGGATGGTTTATTCGCAAAAACCATGTTGTTGGGATTTTTGTTGTTTTGTACTTGCTTGGTATCCGTACAGGGGCGCCCTCAAACATGATAGCAGGAACTACGTGTGGAACATCTGTCTAATGTAGCATCCTTACTTCCTGCCTCAGTTACCAAAGAAACCTCTGATGCAGGTCTGCTGCCCCGACAGGGCCAGGACTCCACAGCGCTTTCTCAGTCACAAGCCATGATGAATTGGTGACTCAGACGCTTTGTGCTTTTTCCTTTGCTTCTTGAGACCGGGGTGTGTGCAGCTCAGCTTCCACGGCGTGTTTGGTTCGGTCCGTGTGTGTGCGTGTGTATACTTGAAGAGAACTGTCGTGTCTGATTTGCACTATTGGAGGAGGACTAAAGTTGCCTGCCAACTTTGTGTGATGCCAGAACTGAGGGCAAACTGCTGAAAAACAAAGGGTTTAAGGATGACATTTCTGACCATTTGTGTTTGTTGTTACTGTTTTTTTTTAATCTAGACAATACAGCTTTGGAAGGGGAAGTCTCATACAGGTTATAGGTCTTTCTCTCTCTAGATTTCAGGTGCTTGCAACTGGACTGCAGACTCTACCAATCACGGGCATTTTACTTTCTCTGAACACTGCAGTTTGTTAGACTAGAGCTGAGGTTGGAGGATTCCGTAGTGCTTTAAACGTGATGCATGTTTTAATGGAGAAAAAATAGCTGGTTTCTATTAATTATATAGGCAGTAAACAAAAACCTTAATACTTCTTTTCAGAACGAGTTTATTTTTGTCAGTTACAGTCCTAGATATACTTACTGCTGGTACAGTTGTGCTCTAAGATTTGTATTTGATATTCACTTTACTCACAGGTAGTGCGGGAGGCCAGCTCCTGGCAGGCCCTCGCGATGAGCAGTGGTCAGCTGCGGTGTGGGATGCTGGATTGTGCTGCAGGCTGACATCATTTATTTTTGCATCCTTGTCTGCTTTGTTACAAGCTCCCAGGGGAGGTGGGTTTGTGTCTTCCAACTTCCCTACATGCAGAAACTGCTCCCTTTGAACTCTCTTGGCTGAACAGCAGATTACTGACAATCTGTGATATGGTGTTTCTTACGCTTCCTCGTACGCTGGGGCCAAGGTAGTATACATTCCTCTGACTTTGTACCATTATTACTGCTTTATTATTTGCTATATTAATAGTTACTAACTAGAAATTAGATGAATCAAGCATGACAGACACAGCTGTGGAGGTCACAGCTGCTCCTCTTTTTGGTCAATGAGCGTTTCTATTCCCTCCCCCAGGGTGTGTGCTGCGTCCCACCTGGCCCACCAGAAGCTCACGCAGCTGCCACCTGACCAGGTGACGCAGGCGTGGTCACCTCCCCTGCAAGGCTTTATGGCCTCGTGCACACAGCAGGAGCCCTGGTTTCACAGTTCCACTGTTGGATTTGGGAACCGGGCACTGGGTGAAAAGGTCAGAGGGTGGCTCTTGCTGTACTCACAGGGTGCTGCAGGCCTTTGGAAAGTGGAGGAAAAGCCCTTCTCCTTGCCCCGCACACATTTCACTCCCACTCTACTGGGCTTCCAAGCTTGGCTTTGGCATTCAGGCCCCTATATTTTCTGTAGGAAAAATTCGTTGAGAACACTTTTTTTATATAGGTAATTTTAAGACCATCATTACGCTGTGCGTAAAGAATGTACAGAGAAATTTGTAGGTATTTTTTGAAGAACATTAATTTGTTAATGATATGTAGCTATTTAATTTTTCCCTTTCCTATTGTAATCATTCATATTTTTTGTTGTTTGGAAAAAAAAGTTGATCTTTTTTTTGTCGTAGATTTGTCTGTAAAAGTGCAGGAACACAGTTATTCTATGAGAACACTGCATCTGCATTAATAGCCACTAGTTTGTTATTGCTACAGGCTACTGAGTGTCGTAACAGGACAACATCCCACTGCTGACCGGCTCGGTGGAGGACACTCCTGGGACAGGTCTCTTTGTCAGTGAACAAGGGCGTCACTCTGGGAGGGGTCGGCGGTGCTGGCGGCCGGGTCCCTGGTGCACTGACCTATCTGGGATAGGCAGTACCCTGGAGGGGGCCTCGGGCAGAGGGGGCAGCAGCAGAAAACCAAACAAACATTTCACTGAGAAAGAGCCCCCTCCCTGCTCTAAGAAGGGGCTCCGTGAAGTTCTTCCAGAGCCGCGCCACCTGCAGTGCGCTCTGACCTTCTCTCCGTGTGTGTAAATCTGTAATATACCATTCTCTGTGGCCTGTTTTTCCTGGAAGAAGAAAAAAAAAAAGGTTTGGCAGGCCATCTTTTTTTTGTACTTAAAAGTAGCCTTAAGAACAATAATAAAGTGCTCTTAAACCACAGAGTGTACGTGTGGCTTTTCGAGTTTCAACACTGGGCTGGCGGTGGGGGGTGGACTTGGGCCCTGCACCTGTCCGGCTGTGTCCCCACAAAGCTCCCATGAGCTGAATGACAGCCACTGGAACTTGGACTGGCTACTTCGGGAGAAGCCTCATTTGAAATCTACTGTACTAAAATCCCACTGTTTTAAGAGTCAGCCCAGACTCAATTTTGACTTTGGTTCTGGGCCTAAAAGATGATGAAAGCTGAAAGACTAAAATAGCAGGAAGGGGGCCTCTGGCTCCTACACTGCTCCAGGGACGAAGCCTTCTATATCTTAGAAGGGAGGGGTCAGCGGTCCCAGCAGGACAGGGATGGGGCAGGGTGGGCAGAGGCACCTAGGCCTCCTCTGGGTTTCCACACTCTGCTCTCTGGGCCTCACAGCTGCACACACCCAGAATAAAGAGGAAAATGGCTCTACCATTGGGTAACTCAGGCAAGAGCTTTCTGACCCATCCTCAGCTGGGGCAGGAAGGGAGCCCTGGCTCAGCCTTCTGGGCCTGGCATGCTCACAGTGGCAGGGATGGGGGAGGAGCTTCATCCAGGATCTATTCCTGGGCTCTTCCCCCAGCCTAAGGCAGGAGCAGAAATTCTCTGCCTCAGGCAGGCAGGCAGGCACAGATGATATGCCCACAGCTGAGGATAGGCCGAGAGGCAGGAAAGCCTTGTCTGGGCGGCTCACTCTGTCTGCGGTGGAGATCTGGGGTCACTGGGATGAGCGTGGCCCTTTAGTCCTGCACCCTGCTCAGCTCTCCTTCCCTTTCCCCTCCACCAGGGCCAGGCTGCAGTGCACTCACAGGGTCCCACCCTGCCCAGGGCCCCCACAGGAGGAGCCTGCAGTGGGGTTTGTGGCCCATGGGCGGAGCAGGTTGCTTGCTTCCCCATTTGATCTGTGTTGGGCCACCCCCTGGGGGCCGAGGGATAAGGATCGTGGGGGCTTGGCTATCAAACACTGATAAGAAAAGAAAACTGCACGGAGGGACCATCAAACACTGATAAAAGAAAACTGCACGGAGGGACCAAGTCCCAGGTCAACAGCAAGGCCAAAGCCAAGGTTATTATTTAGCTCTGAACTGGCTGCATCGTGAATCCCCAAGCAGTGCCGAACACTGGCTGCTCCTGGGCAGTGGAGGGGGTCCCAGTTCTCAGGGTATGGAGAGGAGACTGGAGAGATTGGAGGGGCCCGGGGCTCAGAATCACCAGGCCCAGGGTTAGCAGTCCTGCTCCGGTGACAGAGTGCTCCTCAGCAGGCGGCCGGGAGACGTCAGTCCCACACACAGGGCCGGCTCAGAAAGTCTCATCGTCGCTCATGTCCCAGATCTGCGTGAAGAAGGGAAGAGGCTCAACCGAGCTGTCCCACCGCCCCATGGTGCACACTGATGCTTCAAAATCACAGCAGTCAGGGCAGCTCCCATGTGCAGAACACTCCCTTGTGTCTGAGTGACTGTCACCCCGTTTCTCTACAAGGAAACCAAATCTCAGAGAGGTTACTTTACTTGACCAAGGCCTCACTAGTGTGTGAGCCACCTGGGAGAACCAACAGAGGAGGCTGGGGCAGGCTGGGATTTGCAGTGGGGATGTGCCTCTGCTCACCTCCTGCATGCAACTTGGGGGCCCATCCCGGACCCCGCCAGTCCCTGCTCACCCTGGCTTCTGCAGCACTCACCCCCACCTCAAGCCAGCTTGTTCTCCTTGCAGTCCACCTGCCCTCTGGAAGGCAAGCTCTCCGAGGGCAGGGATTTCTGGTGTGGGCATGTGCTGCCTCAGAAGGCTGTACCCTGGGCACCTGCTCTGCTTTCCCTCTAACTGTAGGCCAGTTGTCCTCACTGCCAACTCACACTAGAGAACTGACATCATGATGCTCAAGAGCAAGCCCTCCCCACCAGTCAGGATGGAGGTGGCCTGGAGCAGGGCAGTGGAGATAGAGCCTGCCACGGTCCCTCAACATGTGTCCTCTGAGCCTTGCTGTGAACCTGGGGAGCGGGAGGCCCCAATGTGGCTGTGAGGAGAACTGAGGAATGCCCAGCAAGAGACTCCCCACCTCCATGGGCCCAGGCCCATTCACTCCCTGCGGTCCCTGGCATGAACCCCACCCCCAAGGAGAGAGCCTAAGGCCAGCATAGCAGGTCCGATGGCTCCTGGCACCCTGGGCTCCCTGGAGGGCCAGTCTCTGAACCTACCCCTTCAGACTTTGAAAATTCCTAGAATTGGTTGCAAAAGGCCACCTCAGTGCTAGCAGAGCTGAGAGAAGGAACAGTGTGTTTACACGAGGCTGGCCCGGGGAGACGGAGGCCTGGCCAAGGTAAATATCAACACCAGCTTGGCTTTCAAAGTCAAGGACGTGGAAAATAAATAGACGGAAATTTCCTCTCTCCTGAGGACCCAGCTCCCAGGCTGAGGGGTGGTGGGCAGCCCTCTCACGGCCCCCGTCTCCCCTGAAGCCCAACTAAGCTCTTGGGAAGGGACTGTCAAGTCAGCCCAGATGCCAGCTCAGCCAGGCTGTGAAAGGGCAGGTCTGGGGTCCAGCAACCAAGTGTCCGTTTCTCTGGGTCAGGTCCCCACAGAGCTCATCCTCAGTGTGGCTGAAAACTCCCTTAGCGTGGGACTGAGCAGTACAGGGCGCGGTGGCTGCGTTTCTAGCACAGATTATAGGATCAGCACCCTGATCTGCGGGTTCTGATGGTCTAAGTGGAAGAAACTGAGCCCCTGGAGGGTTTGCCAGCACAATCCATCCATTCTTCCATTCTCCCACTCCATGAACACACATTCATGAAGACTACTCTGTGCCACGTGCTATGTAGACCTGCTGCGGATACTCTCTAACTCCTCACATCTACCTGTGAGGTGCAGATGGAAACAAGCCCAGAGAGCTAAGGCAATTGGCCTGAGATCACAGAGCAAGCAAGCTTCAGTGCTGGGAACAGGGGATGTGGAAAAGCGCTGGGTGGGCTACCTGGAGGAGGGGGCTGAGGTGGGGGATAATGGGACAAGATGGAGAATGAAAAGGGTGAGCTTTGTGGGCCGTGTCCTCTGGGACCTCCAGCAGCCTCCTGGGGAGCTACCAGCCTGAGCAGGGCAGTGTCAGTGCCAAACAGCAGCAGTGCCCTCTGAAAATGGGTGGACGGACTGAGTTCATAAAAGGACTCAGGCCTGGGCAGGGGCTGGGCTTTATAAGAAAGTAGGAACTTTCAGGGAGGCTTTATCCACTTTACCAGATTTTGAGCTATGGGGAAGAGGCATAGGTGCTTGGCCACACTGGGACTGGGTGGCCTGGGACTGGCCCTGGAGGGTGCCTAGCTGACCCCTGGCTCCTGGACAGATTGAGCCGCTGGAGGGGCTGCTGCTGCTGGCAGTGCCCGAGCTGTGCAGGGGATCCTGCGAGACACCCAGAGGGCTTATTGTGACACGGTTCTACAGAGCGGGAAGCCGGGCAATGGATTTTACATAACCACTCGGGGATTTTCCAGAGTGAATCCTTCAGGCAGGGACGGGCTCAGAGGGCAGCAGCTGTCTGCATTTGAAACCTCAGGAAACAACCTAGAACAAGGACTCCTGGGGATATGGACAGGGACTGGAGTGGGACTGGATCTGCGGGCGCCCTACTGTGTCCTCACCACAGCTTTGTCCTTGGCAGGCCACCTGGTGTGGGGAAGAGGAACAGTGAATGTCCTCTAAATGAATGAAAATTATAGTAAACTGGCAGATTTTCAAAAATGTTAATACTCAGTGCTGACAAGGGTATGGCTAAACACTGCCACAAGAAGAGTATGAATCGGTACCGTATTTACAAGATTTGGCAATAAGTAATATAAACCTGTAAAAGCATTCAACCCTAAGGAAAAGACAAATGATCTTTTTGTAGGTAATATCCAAGTACACCTGGAAACCACAATAAAATAAATGCTAAGATGAATACCAATAAAAAAGTATTGGGGTAAGAGCAAGATGAAATTGACAACAACCAATTAAAACCAATAAGCAATTATAACCACATGTAGTACAAACAATATTTAGTTCAAAACAGAATGAAAGAGGCTGGGTGTGGTGGCTCATGCCTGTAATCCCAGCACTTTGGGAGGCTAAGGTGGGTGGATCATTTGAGGTCAGGAGTTCAAGACCAGCCTGGCCAACATAGCAAAACCTCATCTCTACAAAAAATTTTTTAAAAACCCAACATTTCTACTAAAAATAGTTAGCCAGGTGTGGTGGTGGGCACCCATAATCCCAGCTACTCGGGAGGCTGAGGCAGGAGAATGGCTTGAACCCAGGAGGTGGAAGTTGCAGTGAGCTGAGATCGTGCCGCTACACTCCAACGAACAAAGAAAAAACTAAGAGAGAAGAACCCATTATATTGGCCAGACACAGTGGCTCACGCCTGTAATCCCAACACTTTAGGAAGTTGAGGGGAGTGGATTGCTTGAGGCCAGAAGTTTAAGGATCATTTGAGGTCAGGAGTTCAAGACCAGCCTGGCCAATACAGCAAGACCTTGTCTCTATAAAAATAAAAAAAAATATATATATATATATTATAAAAGCAATGAAAAAGATAAACACATGGAACTGAACCTAACATTAGATGTACAGAATCCATATGAAACCTCTGAAACAGCTGCAGCAGTCCTAGAAGAATCTCACCTGGGAAAGACGTAAACTAGAGTAGATAGAGCCACACCCATTGTTTTTTGACATTCATAAAGATGTCAGCTTTCTCAAAGTGAATACATTAGCAAAGTCTCAATTTTCAAAAATCAGCAAATGTTTTCTGGAGCCAGCTGAGCTGGTTCTAGGCTACGTGGAAAAGCAGGAAGCAGAGACACCCAGGAAACCCTCTGAACAGAAGAGTGGCGAGAAGCCCCCACTGTGGGCAGAAGGAGACACCATGAAGCCCCCTAAAAGGTGAGGGGGTGTGAGCATGGGAACACTCGGATGGCCAGCAGGACATGGTGAGTACAGAAATGAGA